TATGTAATAATAGGTGACCCTGCTACCTTGTTGCCACTGAGGGGAAGTCTTGTATTGCTAAAACCATGGCTTTCATTTTCTCTGGAACGATCTCTGAGTTCAAATGGAAAAAGCCATGATCTAAACATGTCTCGTTCCTGGCTTTCATTTCCACTCTGTTCTGGGATTTTATGTTCAGTTTAACTTTAGTTTGTGGTATCCTCCATTCTTATGTCTCAGGTCACCTAGATGTTCAAGCTCAATTATAGTTCCTCTCAGTTACACTACTTATCAACCAGTCAGAAGAAGGAAAACCTGTCCAGGTCAGGTCATTACTGTTTTTAACCCCCACCTAGCACATTCCACCCAATTCAGAAACTGTGGTCTCAGCACCTTGAGCTGTTAACAATATTCCTGATCCACTGCAACAACCTTCTCTAACCCTCAAAGCAGCAGAGAGGGATGCCATTGTCAATATTTGGAGGCACAGCCACCAAGGGCAACAGTTCCCCACGTTTGAAGCTGGAAATGCCTCCAGGCTGGGGCCATGTCTCCTGCCCTTGCTCTGCTCCAGTTCCTCTCCTGCTTCTGACTTCAGCCCTAGCAGCTGACCTAAAAGGAAAGTTATTAAACGTGCACGAACAATAAAAGGAAAACAACCAAAGCAGAGAAAAACAACGCACACTAGTCAACAACTGCTCATTCTTCCTCTGTGCTACCTACAGCGGATAAAATGGAGAATTTTTTGCTAGTGCTCTATCAGCTTCACTTGTGGCAAGGGCAACCCTTTGCCAGTTGGCACTTTGTTGGTTTGATATGACAAATAATTCACCCCATTTATAACTGCAAACAGTGCTTCCATTTAGCCTGCCAACTGTATTCCTGAAGCACTACTTTTCACTCTTTTGTCTCTCCTTGATGGCTTCCTCTACTTTTTCTTGTATTTCTGACCGCTTCTGGTGCATCGGTTACCCAGGTTAGAATGTGTCCCTCTGCAGAGGTGGCTGGTTGCCTCTAAGACCTAATTAACTGCACGGGATTTCATTGCAGCCAGGAGCTGAGCAGACCCCAAGCAGGCTAAGATATTTTTGAGGATACCAGAGATGCCCAGAACCACTCATAATGGAGGTCAACAATTTGGGGCAGCGGGGAGGATCATTTTTTCTTCCACCCCATGCAATGCCACTCCCAATTATCAGGCACTGGGAAAGATTTTGTTTCATACCTCTAGGGATGGGGCTACACCCACGAGAAACCGAGTGATCACAGCAGCGGTGGAAGGGCAGAGGAGGTACCAGTGAGGACACGGGACCTGGACACGGTGGGGTCTCTCCTCTTTTCCCTGGCACGCGGGTGGACGGAGGCGAGGAGGAGCAGCGGGAATCTGGTGCCGAGCGCTGTGGGAAGCTGGAGAGCGAACTAGACGGACTGACAGAGCTGTCGAACCGTGGCAACACTCATGCACCTCGTGCAACTACTCATGGGTTTAAAAGTAAGTACTTAAGTGCCTATCAGCTGCACGAGGGCTTTAGCGCTCTTCAAACTAGTGAAACGGATGATACTTCAAAGGCATTAAAAGTAGGTTAAGGAAAGTATTTCAGAGACTGAGTAGATACCTGAATAAAATTGACAGTCTTTAAGTGCAGATGAGTAAACAGAGGGAGTTCTCAGTGGGATCATTTCTATAGGGTTGGCAAAAAGCTCTGTTTTATTCCCTGTTCAGGACTTGGTCTCCCCAGCGCGATGCCAAAAAAGGACGAGTTAGATCAAAAGGACGAGAAGGGAGTTATCATCCCAGTTAGAAATGGATTGAAACAATCAGTTCTTCTTACACAGACCACCTAAAAGCCAACAGCAATCGAGAATCCTGTCTGGAGAGAACGAGAAAAGACTCTTTTCTTCTACATTCAATATTATCCAATTAGCCAAGTACATTACCAGCAGAGTTCGACCTTTTGCTAGAACATGAGATACCGGCTATTGAGAGAGGCAGAAACCTGGCACTGATGCGCAGGTGATCTGACCCAGCACGGCGAAGCTGCGGCAAGCCTTGCTCCCTTAACAGAGCTCAAAGGAGCTTTGTCACCCTCACCTTTTAACCCACAATCACCGAGAAACAACACCTAGTTTCTGATTTTTAACGAGTCCTCTTCAAAGGGCTATGAAGCATATTTAAGTGCATTTTAAAATATTTGGTACTTTGGTGATTAATAATATTTAAGATGACCAACCTCCCCCAAGTATATTTTCCCCACCCCCTTTTTTAGTCTTTTGCTCTGATGAGATAAGGAAATGAGGTTACTTGATTTCCCTTTAGAGTTTATGATCAGCCGCACTATTTTAATAATCTTCACTTAGTTCCACTTTCTGTTTCTTAAATGCTAGTACAATGTGGCAGTGTTTTGGTTGCAGACTCCACAGGGAGAAGTTTCTAATGCCAACAAACGCAATTACTGCGATTTTTTTATTTGCATTTTTTCCTTTTAAATGTCATGAAATACTTCTACCAACCTGAAGTTTTGTAAGCCTTTTTAAAAGTAATTTAATTTCTGACCTTAAGCTTCCTAATGTTGTGCGTCAAAAGTCAGCTTTTAAAAAACACTCAGAATTAGCTCGAGCAATCTTTTCAGCCTTTAAGAGGGGGATCCACATCATCTGCTCTATCAGCACTAAGCACTATGCCTGGCAGTACATTTTTGCAAGGCTTGGTATTCCCTGTGGTAGTAAATACCTGGCCTTGGCATCCCTGACTTTAAATCAACAGGGATCTGCGTAAGCACAAAGGTCCTCCAAAATTAGGATACCTGCATATAACAAGCAGTATTTCTAATACTTACCACAGCAGTACAACCTCCTTTTTGCAACCAGCTGTGTCATTAACCTGTCCAGCATCAAGAAGAATGGCGTATTTACCCCATTAAAGACAGGAATTAATAATAGTAACAATAATAACTTTAGTTAAGTATATAAATATAAACACATTATTAATCATTAACAGAAATCAGCCCATTAATAAGGCTTCAAAGCTTTCCAGGAGAGGAACCGTAGGAAACTGAGATTTCCTCTATTTTTTAACTTCGGTCTCTCGTTCTCTCTCTTAATCAAACAAAAAAGTGATTGTTTCAGAAAAAAATCCGTGGCTATTTTGTATAGATGTCCCTCTTTTGACACCATCTGGGATCAGATTAAAAGCTGAGATCTGAACCAACATCTCTGCGTCTAATCTCCTGTTGATATTTCTGTAGATTGAGAGGTTAAAAAAAAAAAAAAAAAGATTACCAGGGGCCAGCCAGTTTTTCAGGTCTGAATTATATCGGTACAATCTTAATGACTTTCTTAAGTCAAATGTAAATATGACCCCGGAATGTGGAAGCATACATTTTTGTTCTCGGAGGTCTAATAAAAACACAAAAGCTTTCTGTGTGGTTCGACACGGCATTAGAAATGCTTTGTCACATACCCCCAGATCTGAGGCAGCTCGAGAAGCTGAAATTAAAGTAAGCCGAGCTTCCTGCAGGACATTAAGTGTTTTCCTCCTAATTGTTTACAATTTGCTCTCTGCTGTGCCTGTGCTTGGAGCCGATACCATAAAAAGTCACTGACAAATCCGAAGCGGGCGCTTCGTACCGAGCTGGGAAAGCAGAAGGAGCGCGCGCGGGGGCTTTTCTAGCGACAGGCAATAACTCCGCGGCAAAAGACCCAGCGAAGCTGCTAACTGCATACTTTTGCCCTTGCATCGAGCATAAAATAGGTCATGGCAGAGGGACGCTGTGTCTTTAAGTATTGCCCAGCCTGAGCCGGATTATCATTAGGTTACGTAACCCCGCTGATGAGCTGCTTTTCATTAAGGCTTCCCCCAGCAGCAGTGCTGGGAGCAGGCGCCGGCCGCGCAGCCCCCAGCAGCCGTGCTGGTGACGGTTTTCCTTGCAGCGTGCCGCAGCTCTCCTCCAAGCCCCGGAGGCTGCAGCTAGGCCACGGGGCTCGCATGAATTGCCTCGGTGTCTGAAACGTAAAACACCTACTCGACCTTAATGGGGTTATGCATTAATCTCGGCTAAAGTATGTTTGCAAAGCTGTGAAAATAAGAGGTGTTACCTCAATGCGTTAAAAGTGTTCTTCTCTTGGCTCGGAGCTGTATTTCTGAAGTGCGTCCTCAACTGAGCAAAAATCCAGACCTCCTCACTTTTCGGTGGTCTGAAATGCAGGAAATGATGGGGCAACAAACGTAGCGCGCCTCCACCTGAGACCTTGGAAGGGGGAAGGAAATTTGTAACGAGATCCATTTCAGTCACATCCTCATGCCCACATCTCCGGATGCTCACAAGCACCCAGCAGTGTCCAAGTGGTCCCTCCCGGTTCAGGCACCAGGATGCTTGTACCCAGGGCTCTGTCCCTTGGGATGAGCCGGAGGACGAGAGCTGCTAGCCCTCAAGCCCTCCTCGAGTCTCCTGGGTTTTCCTTCCACGTTCTGGCTTTTAACATCTTGTAGGAGCAGGAAGCGCTGCTTGGCTTTGTGGACAGACCTCCCCCCTCCGAGTCCTTTCAGGCACACGGGCTCCCTGCAGGCAGACGTGTGCTGCAATGCTGATGACCTGCTGGTCCAGATGCCATCATCAAATGCCACTCTTATCGCCCTTCTCCTGCTGTTTGGTCCTTCCGCTGCTTCCGCACCCCGTGTTCCCCTTCATGCCCCATTCAGACCAACAACCTTCTATCACAGTTCTCTACAAGACAGCGGAGTAAAAGGTTGATGCGTATCCTTCTAGATGAGGGTAAGAGCAGAACCAAAACAAGATAGCTGAACTGCACTGAAGAAAAAAAAGATTGTGCACAACTTTTAATGCTCTACAGCTGATTTTTTAAGGGATAGGGAAGTTAGCAGTAATGGAGGTGCTCAGTCCTCCTGAAGGGCTCAGCACTACACAGAGTCAAGCCCGTATTCAGAAGTTATGTGGAGCTCTAAAGAACCATATTCATATTAAGTGGATGCAATACTATCATCAAAGATTTTATTTATCGCTTTTTACAATGCTGAATTCAGCCAAGAAGCTTTAAGGAACTCCATACTACTAATCTTAACCTCTTAGATTAACGACTGTACCATGGATGCTTGCAATGTACAAGACACTCTTAAAATAATCCGCTTCATAAACCAAAATAAAGCCTGAAAATGCCCTTTAGCCCAAGCAAATTACATGGAACGACAGGCTAAATAGTGACGGTGTAAAACATGGGGTTTATGGCCACGAAGGGGACAACCAGAAGACCTCAGAGCTGTTTCGGCTGGTGATTCCATCACTCCCTTGTTGCTTGACCTCCACTTAAACCTCTAGAACACTGCTGCATATCTGTAAAATGAAGACAATCATATCAGCTACTTTTATAAAGGGCTCAGATTAGAAAGATAAAACAAAAGTAAATTATTTGTCAGTCTAAATCGAATGGAAATTAAAGCTGCTCTCACATAAAGTCTCACCCACTGCAGTCACACTTACATGATGGGAGAGGCCTTTGGATTTAATTCTCTGAAGTTTTGAAATAATTTCATTTTGCTGATGGATTTCATCTTCGCTGTATTTCAGCGAGACATTTAATCTTTCTCATAATACGTTTTGAAGTCTCATTCATTTCAATTGCCACAGCCTGACAGCACTGTAATGTACTTAAAAATGGCATTGTTTATACCTGTATTCCATTTGAAAATGAACTTGCAGATTAAAGTAATAAAAATGGCTTTATTCTTCTCACTGTTAATATCACTGAAAACTTAAAGTGTCCCTATCGCCTGAGATTAGCTCATATATTTCTTTCTTGTGAGGAATTCATGGAGGGGACTATTCTAACATCAAGCTCTACAACTTGGTATTAGCGGTGAAGGCTGAGCATTTTCCGCCTGCATAAAAGTAAAGCGGGCATAGCCTGAGGAGGCAGTGGAGAGCTGGCAGCACAGGAAAACGAAGGGACTTTTACACAGCTTCCTTCCCTTACTGCTGCCACGAAGCGAGCAGGACCAGAAGGAATATATTAGCACTTCCACCTAGATGTGTTGCAACGAAGAGTCATGCAGCAGCATGCAGCGGCAGTCGCTGTTGCCTCAGCCCCTATTAAGTCTGCAATTAAAGGAGAATCAGAAGTATTCCTTTGTTCACTCACAGGCTGTGCGAGTTTTGCACTAGGGAATTTGTTACGGGTGCACGATCTCACAGAGCTACTCTTCTCTGTCTTGTTCCTCTACTGCTTTCCCACTCATGTCCATGTCCTTATAGGCCTGAAATTCTTCTGAAAAAACAAAAATATCAGTGCAGTTACTATTTATCTAGCCAAAGAAGGACAAAACATGCAGCATTTTATACATAAACGCACCTACCGTTAACTATGTTGCAATGAATACAAAATAGGCCAGGAATAACAAAACCCAGCTAATACGCCTGCGATCGAAGTTCTCCAGCCCTATAGCTGACAGGCGAAGGGTTAATTCAAGCTCAGCTTGCCCATCCCCTTCACAGGTGCTCAAGAGATAATGAGGCAGTTATGAAATACATGCCAGGATGTTTTTTCCAGTTGGGAAGCAGGAAACATCAGAGGTAACTGTATGGAACCCAAGAAAGGCGAACGTTTCTGAGTAAGAAAAAATCCAGATCAAACGATTATGTGGGCGACTGCATTGGGTAGGTTTGAGATGTTGTGTGTTTGACTAGGCCTTTTAAGCCCAATTTGCGCGGTTGTAACAAATGCACTCTCAACACCCTGAGGACTAAAGAGCCCCCACGGAGGAAATGGAGCCACCTGAAGCTCTGGTTTATTTTAACTATTCAACCCACTGAGTTGTTTTGCCTCATGACACAGACATGTTTGGGGATTTCACAGTTCCACAGAGAAGATGAATAGCATAACAAGATATAGCCTGAATGCGATAAAATAGTTGAAAGAGCAATTGTTAACTGTTCTCCTGGCGGCGGTTTGTGTGGAAGGGGCAGAAAACGCTGGTGATGAGACCACACAGCAGGTCTCGCTCTGTGTTGGTCTACACGTGTTGGACCACAGGTTGTTCACCGAGCTTCCTCTCAAACATGGTGACCTCCGCTGATCCCGAGACGTATTTTAGACCACTTGACGCCTCGAAGGAGAACAAGGCTCACGCGAGACCAAGGACGGCCTTGAAGTCTTCCTTGAAGAACCCGACGGGGAACACCGAGCGACTTTGCTAAACGACGGTCGGTCAAGCGGGACGAGGAGATCGGCGAACCTCACGGGGGCCGGTTCGTCCTGGACGGCCG